GGGGGTACATTAAAGTCTGGATACATACAGGAAACAACACCAACACTGCTCAAAATAAAAGGTCAAAGGAAGGTCACCACCTGCTGATGGCCACTGTTGTCACATGGTTCGAGCACTGTGGTCAAATGAAAATGAGTCATTCACTCTCCAACTGTATATGTGCTGGTTTCTATAAGCAAACTTCTATCCTCCTGAATATTTACTGTCGACTCCCCTGTCTGACATCTCACATTCTCATACCACATCAGTGTATTTCGGTGGTTGACCAACAGAACACATAGGATGGGGGCATTTGGGCTAACCGACTTTGGGCAAAACAATGTAATCATATCGTAAATAATCGGCCAAATAATGACATTTTATCTCAATAAGCAGCCTTGTAAAGCATATTCCTGCTGAACTGTGCAATGTATCATCCTTCAAACTATGTGCAGCTATAAAATAAATCAGTCAAGTCCTCATGACATATGATATTGTATTAATACATATGATATGATATTGATAAAAAAGTTTTTTCCCCATCACTGTGGTTTCTCTTAGCTTCAAATGGGTGAAGTCTCTAACGGTCTTCAGGACTGTCCCCTGGAAAACAAAAAACAGCCAAAAATGTTTGGCTTGATGTACCAGGGGCTGTGGCTCAAGGGGTCGTCCTCTACCCACAATGAATTTAAATGAAAAATGGTCTGTATTTATATAGATTTTCTAGTCTTGATGACCACTCAACGTGCTTTATAGTAGAGGTTTGCCATTCACCCATTCACACACATTCATACAGTGCATCTATGGGCAGCACCTTTCTATGAGAACGGCACAGCCATCAGGCAATTTGGGGTTCAGTATCTTGTGCAAGGACACTTCAGCATGTCCTATAGTTTTGTAACAATAATAATAATTGTTAAATTATACCTGTTTTTATGTCACTTCACTTGTAGGCATGAAGGAAGCAGACACTCAAACATGTACTGTCTTCTTCATCTATTACTTCCTGTGACAAAGGCAGCAAACTAATCAAACACAAACGCTGCCAAACCACAATATCACAGAAGAAACACCTCCATCTGTTGTCCATGGACGTATTATAAGAAATGGCTCATAAATTATGCCTGTCCCGAGCGAGGACATGTTAAGTCAAACAAATCTTTGTGCAAAAGATCAAAATGGGATTTTTTGTCCATACACACCATTTCCCCTGACAGTTGCAGGATAAATCTTTGGGGCTTTTTGCAATTCCATTTTCCAGATTCAGGGAAAGTTTTAAAAATATCAAAATTGAATAAAAACCCAAAAGACAAAGTGCAACCAAAACTCTGTTTGAGCTGTCCTGTCTACTGTTTTATAGTTTTCTCTCTTAATCATCTGTAGGGATTGTTTTTCATCGCAATACCACAGGTGGCCATTGGGACAAATCTGCAGAAATGGACAGCAATGCTTTTTTAATGCAGTCATGCTTTACACAACATCATGTATGTTAATAGTCATGGTGGTAGATGTTCCCAATCTAGTCTGCAGTCAGGTCCTTCTCAAATTTATTATAGGGATACTGGACAACAATGGTAGGTGCATCTAATGAACTGCATATAAGTGTTGATAGTGCCATTCAAAGCTACATGTGCACATTATTTCTGTACACATTACAAAGAAAAGTAATTTCTAAGTTGCCTGTCATGGTGAAACCTCTAAGTCACACTGACCTGTTCACTGTAACATAACTAACCTCTTGCATTATGATTTCTTTCTGCAGTAACCGGGTGAGCATCCCACTGGCCTGCACAGCTTCCAGATTTTGCCACAAGTTCAGTGAGCGATCACCGTTTCTCCGGCGCAGCTGTAGCGCTGGGGGGGACACAACTCCAGGCTCTGCCACCATAGTCCCTGTCGAGACCCCAGGGGAGATGTTGTCACGCTGCCGCCGCTGCTCAATCTCCTGCTGCTTTGACGTATCCCGGTACTCCTGGTACAAGATGGCTGGAGGGTCAGAAGGACATGAGTTAGACAGTAAGCTTTTAAAGGATTTCCTTTTTGCTTTTTGCAAAGGCTTGAGTTACCATTGTGACATTACTGAGATCAGATTTAGAGAGGTCCACACTGCTGGGCTAGCTTCTGTTCCACTAGTCTGTGTAAAATATGAATCTAAAGTGTTTAAGACAAAAAGAAGCATCTGATTTCCTGTCTACACAAGAACATTGGAATCTACTGCTTGTGATCACCAACCTCTTCTATTTATTAATATAGATGCATATATTTATAAATATGTCCTGTTTAATAATGGAATGCACTGTGATGAAAAAGCAGAAGAGAATGAGAGACTTTCTCAAACAGCCTTCTGTCAAACATCCACTGCTGCTCACATATAGGTGGTAAAGAGATCAGTTTTCCTGTTCATCACATCTATCAGCTGGTCTTCATGATGTTATAATAGTCATTGTAGTAGTGACCCATTACACTGTCTTGGTATCTGTGTTTTATATCATATTATAACAAAAGCACAAATTGCTTAAAATATGTATTAATACATGCAAAACCATCAGGCCGAGCAAATATCAGCAAATATCAGCTAAATATCTTAAAGGTTTCTGGACATGATTTTGTATCTTTTTTTATCCTATTCATAAGTAATGTCTTGCTATTATTAACAATTGAATATAAAATAATCCTATTGATGTTTTCACTGGTGTGTTTCATCTAAATTGTATGAATTGTTGTTTTCTTTACCCTAGAAGGGGCCCTTTATATTTAGATACTTTATATTTACATGGAGGGGGTCCTCTCTGTGGAGGCCACCATATTATTTATTGTCGTCCAAACTGGACAAACTAAATCTTTTGAGTTTTCATGACAACTGAAGTTCACCACAGGTTCTCTTTCATGTTGGGGAGGGGAGGGTGAAATAGTAGAGAGTATCCAGCCGCAACATGCAACTTCACCTCTAGGTGTCACTAAATTCTACACAATGAAACTTTAACATCCAAACAAAGCCAATCATTTTTTCTTATTGCTTTCATTTGCAAAAGCATGATCAGACACTCATTAACAGGTCATACAAACAGCTTTATGTTCCAGCTCTGCACACTAATAAAAGAGAGTCTCTGTTCTTTATGGGACGGAGGCCAGTGAAACAGAAGCTTGCCCAGAGGTGTGTAGGACTTCAACTGTGTTCTGCACTGCAGTCAGTGCGGAGGTTGGAGAGCCACACAGATCCTGTCTCGCTCACCAAGTTTCAGGTGGGTTGAAAGTTAGCTGATAAGAACAGATGGTCTTTACAGGGAGGACTGGCTACGTGTATATAAAGAGGGAAGGTGACTTTGAACAAGCAGTTCCTGTTGCATAATCTCCCTCAGTCATATACTGCAGATTGCTCTGGTGGGTGTTGAACTGGACTGAGAGTTACATAAGCACACACACGCACGTACACACACACAATATATCTTTCGTTTTGTATTGCTGGAAGTCCCAGGTAAAGTGCTGTCTTAAGTCAATTTGGACTAATCCCTGCAAATAACCATTGCCCAGTGTACACACTGAAGTACACAATGGTGAGCAGACTGTCAACACTGCCAGACGATCAGCTTAGAGAGGCACTTGACCTTGATGAACAAGTCAGAGATATGTAGTAACAGGTACAACCCAATAGCAGTGCTGAAGCCAGCTCATTGTAGGTATAGAGATTATTAATGAGATATCTCTGTTATTGAATGTTAGTCATATGATCTCTTTGCAGCAGCGACTCTAGAGGTAGTAAAAGTGGGTGGGATGTATGTGCTACCATCACCGTTTAACAAGTCGTTTCTCACCCATGTTTTTGATGATGCTGATGTTGTGGCAGATTGTCTCTGCGCTTTCTCTATTGCTCAGCAACCTGAAAAGAGACAACAGAGGAAATCCATGTTTGGGCAGACAGCAATGGATGGATGAATTGCTTCAGTATTACTGTTGAAAAATCCTGCAGCAGTACTGTTGTTGCCTCAAGTCCACAGATAGGCCACACAATGATGAATTCTCTTCTCCAATAACAACAGGCTGAACTGCGGCACAGGATTTACCATTTACCATTAAAATCCTGATGAAAATAAAAACACTGTGCCTCCAGTTATTCCAATACATTATTCATAATGTATTTGTCAATCTGTCCCTCCTCAAACAAAAGCACCAATTGTTCATCATTTTAATTAACCTGTTATGTGTCTAATATCTGCTGTTTACAGCTACAAATATTTACACGCACAGTTTAAGCCTTATAAAAAAAATGTGTTCTCATGCATTGTTCTACATTTTTGTGTTTTCAGAGTCATTTGGTCTGACCTGTGGTTGAAGTAATCCTGGTGTGCTCTGTTAGAACTGGACTGTTGCGAGCTCATGGTTCTCCCTCTGACCTCCCGTACAGTGCAAGCTGCAGCCGTTTGCTCCGATAGCTTTTTTATATCTCCGCTATGAATGCCGTGAGTCCGGTAAGTGATCCTGTCATCTGCAAAGTCTCTATGCTTGCTGTTGGAGGCAGCTGATGTGTCCACACTCCCTCCACCCACACCTCCTCTTCTCTTATCCACAGCATCCTTGCTGTACCGAGCATGTCTGCTGCTGGCCTCGCCATTGCTTGGCAACACAGGTCTGGAATCGTGGAGCTTTGGTGAATGCTGAAGACTATATTCAAAAGCAAAAGAAAAGGAAATCTTTACAATCACATCTTTAGAAGCCATCTTTACTGACATGAAATTCCTCAAAAATGCTGACAGGCATATTTTATCCACATTGTTAATTGTCATGTACAGAAGACATTGTCCATCCGTTACTATATTTGATTTTCACAGTTATCACTGTTTTCATTTTATTTGTTTGAGTGCATTCTGTGCTTTCATTAGAGTTGCTGCGTCCTGATCTAGTGGCTGGGTCCTCTTTGCTGTACATTTCCTGAAGGCTTTAACATAGGTGGTAAACACCTGAGCAAAATCACTCAAAACATTATGGGAGGAGGATAAGATTGCTGACCTTGGGCCATATGTTTAAAGCTCACAAAACAGAAATATGCATTTGCATTCTGTTCATCAGCTTTATGATTTATGAAGCTGTGCTCACACCTGGTTTTGTCTCAGTGTGAACCTGGGTACACATTCACAAGCTTCATTTCAACTTCTGCACCATAAATGAATTGCTGTAGTTTACAAGTCCATACTTGTGTCCGTCCCACTGCTCATTATACCTGTCACAGTGAAAGAACATGTGCAGTTTTACTGACTGTTGCATCAGGTTCTGCAGTAACACCAGAGCAGCTGTCATCACTCACTGCTGTTGCTAAACATATCACATGTATATGTCAACCATCATTATCAAACATCAGAATGAAAAAGACGTAACAAAATGCTTCACGACAAAACTAAGATTATTGATCATTGGAGAAACAATGGCTTGAATGCATAACTTGCATCACTGCATGTTATTTAAAATGAATGTGTTATGTTTAATCTGTGTGGTTTAAAGTAATAAAAACAGCGAGGAAAATTGGCAAAGGACATGTAGTTTTTCCATAAATTTTCATGTCTCACCTAATATACTGTTTAATCACCTACTTATTAGGTCATCCCCTGATGATTCTTGAACCTTGTGAATGCTGGTCTGGAGTCTGCTGAGGTGACATATTCTCAATTATTTTCTCCAAAATATTTGTTTATGTGTGGGATATGATGATGATTTTTGTGCTCATGCATCAATTTTAGCTTTGAGCCCAGAAGTGGGATCATTTGCTGAATGAAAACTGTAAGATGAGGTTGAAAGCTAACTTTTGAGCTTAGATGTTCTTTGTTCAGTTTATAAACTGCATCAGGGAACATTTAGATATGCCTCAGGTGCTTTTGGGCGAGAGCTTGTGTGCACTGTATGTGTAATTCTGGTGTGTGGGTGCAAATGTGAACGCGGATGCAGAGGAGGTTATCAGAGGACATTTAGGCAAAAACATGATATAATAAATGATACCATATGATAACCTTATGTTTTTTTTTCTGTAGTTTTTTTACATTTGAAAAAATTGATCACCAGTTACTTAAATTGGATTGGATATGGCTGCAACACTGTTTACCCCTCAAACTCCAAAAGTGTTCTGTGGACTCAAACACTTCACCCACCCCTCCATTGGCATAGTGGTGAGTAGATAATGAGTGCATTTTCATTTTTTCAGTGAATGATCCCTTTAAATATGTATTTGTCAGTAGTAGTTATTCATAGACAAGTACAGTAGACATGACAGAAACCAGGCATTAACACCACTAACTGTTCTTGGTAGAAATTGCTATGTTGTTATGCAGGCTAATACAGAGAAATATTATATAGTTAATATACAGTGTATATACTGTATATAGCCTTAACCTGGTAAAGTAGTCATTTTGCCAGCATTACAATCTGTACTACAGGTACTGTGGTATTGTAACCAACCGTTTTACACTGTGACAAATGCAGAATCATTCTATGGCACCAGTTGAATAAAAGTAATTCCTGCTCTGTGACATTAAATCTTTATAGGACTTTTGCAGTCCTCCAACATAATCTTTTGTAACTACTTCTTAAACAATTTTCACATCTGCCACACCTATTGTCAGGACGTCAACATGTTTGTCTGACTGTGCACAGATTTGTCACCACAGTAATATTACAAACCTACAAGACAAAGTCACAAAACCAGACAGGTGTGTAGTTGAGATCAAAAGTAAGCTGAGTTCAGAAACAGGTGTGGTCCAACCCTTGAGTACTTATCATGTAATGTAGTAATGATTACTGAATACTCATGGATCAGAACATTAACATGTTGAAAGACGCAGTGGCTTATTTGATCCCATTGCAGAGACACTGAGTCTGGTTCTGTTGGAGGTTTCTCCCTGTTAGAAGGGAGTTTTTCTCTCCACAGTCGCTAACTGCTTTGTCATTTTGGGAACTGTTTTGTTTCTTTTTAATATTGTATGGTATCGACCAACTATAGTGCCATGAGATAACATATGTTGTAATTTGGAACAATACAAATAAGATTTAATTTAAATGAACGTTATGGTCATTTTGTAAGATGATGTTTGTGGTACTGTCCAAGCCATTAATATCATCACTAAAGAATGGAATAAGTGAACCTGACAACTGGTAGTAAATCTTTCACAGCACATTGACCCTTTGATTAGTAACAACAAGCGTGTGCAGTCTCCTTCTGGTGGTCACTGAACAGTTTTGGTTTGACAGACCTCTGTGCTTATCAAAGACATGATAAGCCATTGAGTGTACCATGCATGATGTATAAAACATGATGTATGTCAGTGTTTAAATAAGCACTGTGCGTTATTGTTTGTTTTCCGGGCGTGCTTTTGTTCAGTTGTTGGGTTGGGTAGTGAAGGCATGTAGACTCACCGTCTAGCCCCGGGCAACAAAGGTGATTTGTGGGGTAAAGGAGAATGAGAGTGGGAGACAGTTGCTCTGTTGGATGGACTGTGGTCAGATCCAGGCCTGTTAGAAACTGGAGAGACAGGTACAATTGTGAAAAAAAGATTTTTGTCATTTGTCAATCATTTCAAAATGGCATTGGCTGTAAAAATACAGGGGCCACTTGCCGATTAGATCTGATCTGATATTCCTAAACTTGGTTTAATGTAC